GACAGAGGGGCTCAAACTGACAATAGTTTAAAATATCACATACAAAGATGGCCAGGGAATAATAGATCATTGATGTGGTGGGGACAAGGAGTGAGCTCTTTACTTTGAAGCTACCTTTGTGGAGTCACAATTGCAAATATCAATTTCAGCAGATGATCTATAGTCTTGTCACAAAAAGGTGTTTCATATTAACCTAACGGCTGTCCATTAGGAAGCTGTTGCAGAATTTGGTGGCAGCAAAGCCAATGAATTGAAAGTGCAATTAACTGATGAGATTTAGATGGCAAACGTAATAACTTAAAACCATATTTTAAATTGAGAACGGCCAATGTAATAACTTAAAACCATAAATTATTTACAGGTTTTATGAATTAAGCTAAAACTAAACAGATTTCAGGTGTTCATCTGTGGCCAATATATGATGTCTAGATAGCCTACAAATAGCCTAGTCAACGAAAATAAAACAAAGCACTAACCTATGTGATTCACTCTGTATCGGCATACAAAGGAATCATATATATATATATAGCCTACCTTCATTATAAAGGACGAAGAGAAGGGACAAATATCAAAAACCCACATTGATTGTTGATTGATTGGTTATCAATTGAAGGAGCATTTAAGAGAAAGCGATGACTTCAAAAACGACGGATATAAAAAAACAAACATTTTCAGGCTCAGTGTGTTCAGGAATTATAAAGGTTTCTCTCATATGTTACTCTTTGGCTAAACGCCACAATAACATTCTTTCCGGTTATTCGTTAGGCATAAGTGTCTCACTCGGTTGGCGCTCGGTCGCGCTCTCGCTGGAGTCACATGTTGCAACGTCACGGCAGTAGTTAGTTACTGTAGTCGCGAGGAATGAAGCCGTCATTTCAAGCTGGAGAGCTCTCTCAATGCGCACTACACCGCGAGCGCTCACCATGCCATCCAACAGCTTCAACCCAACTCCAAAGGATCCGCTCAGTCATGGGAGTCCATTACCTCAACCATGCAATTTCCACTATCAATAATTTAATCTATTTGCTCAAAAGCTGAAGAGACTACCTACTTGCAGCTGCTGCTTGGCGAAGAGCGGGCGAATATCGTAAACTAGTTACGCGGAAGGCTTATCCAAAACATCCCAGATGACACTGTCCTCCTGAATGGTCTCCTTTACGACTGGACAGTAAAGGTAGGTTTTTAAGTGCGGAAAAGAGTTATTACTGCAGGTTTTGTACTGACTGCGTCTGAAATGAGAAGGGGAGTTAGGAAAAAGTAATCAAGTGTTGGATCATGCAGCGGCAACATGAAACGGCATCCTCGCGTTCATTACGATTCGGCGTTATTATGTTGATTGAATTTCTGATAGGGGTCAGTGGAACCAAAAAGTTGTTTTTGCTTATTATCCAGGGCTATTAGCTGTTTATCCTTGTAGCTTTTATCTGTTCAACTGTTTATTAGTTAGTTTTACTGATATAGCCTGTTTGTTTTACGTATTAATGGCGTATTAAATTTTCACCAAACGGCATAACAAAGGCTATTTATTCATACGAACAGATTGTTTAGTCAGTTTAACCGAAAACTAGGCTATATGTATTAGAACGTTCAGAGAATAAATGCGTTTAGTGAATTCAAATGAGACTTGGAAGAACATGAAACTTGAGATCATCGTTTAGGTTTACCGTGTAGGAACAGATGAACTCCCAAGGCAAACATCAAGTTTTCGAATTAAAAACTAACAAATAAATTATAGTTCTAGGCTGCTTTTTGGATGCTAACTGGACAACACTGCTTGAACAAAATTACACTTAAGTTTATTTACAAACATGTTCTCTAAATCCTAATTGACTAATGCGCGTTGTAATTTATGATGCTTATGTACACACAATATTCTGTTTGTAATTTGTTTTAGATGAAAAGCATGTAGATAATATAGGGTGCAGCAAAGAAAGCAGGCACATTTATTCTTATAGCTATCTGATAGTCTCATTAATCTGCGTTCTCTTTGTGTGAGCGTATATGTTTATGTGACAGAAAGAGAAAGAGATGTTTCTCATGCTATGCTTTTCTGCTTGCCTTCACTTCAAATAAGCTTTTGTGTAGACGAATGCGCCATCTAGTGCAGAAGTGTTGTAAAGCCTATTAACGAGGAAAGGATGGATTGTGTGGATGTCCCTGTTTTAAGAGAATCCTCTCTCTGACACCACTTTTCAAGTTTAGAAACTGTAATGTGGCATAAAGTTTATACTTCCAGCACTACCGCGGCTTTTGAAGTATAGGCTACTTGGATATGTTTTCAATTCCCTCGAAAGTTCCCGGAAAAAACTCAATCTCTACTAACATATAGAATGGCAAATCTTAGATGATATTTCCCTCGCGGATCCTGTTCGCCAATGAGTTGCCCTTTCTCCTGTTACGAGAAAAGACGAAACTTATACATAAATTATTACAGCACTAATGTTTAATTTGTCTTTGTCTTCTGCCTTTCAGCTTTAGAGCCACTACGCAAGTGGCTTAGTGTAGAGGTTTTACGCAACTAGACGTGCCACTAAACGAGCCACTAGTAGGCCTACAGTTAGCTAAACGTCAATAAAAACCTTTAAACAAAAATGTATTATGATATATCTGTGAATATGTGTGAATTTATAGGCTAAAGAAGTGACAAATATTGACTTGCTTTTCTACTTAACGCCCGAAACTGATCGTATTGCGCTTGCGCAACTTTTTGTTGTTATGGTTACCTTTTCTCGCGAAAGCGACTTCCGGTGAAAGTGCAGGTGAAAATACGCGCTCTAATTGCAATCTAACTTTTAACACTGGTGAGGTGATGATAAAACCACTGATCTATATAATGATATATAGATCAGTGGATAAAACACTGTTCAAAGCTGTATAATCTTGTAATGGAAATAGGCCTATATATTTTACTAAGACCCCCACCCCATATCACATTATTGATGTGAACTACACCGAATCTTAGTTTCCCTTCTAGTATTTATTTATTTGTAATTAAAAAAAAAAATGTAATCTCCTTCATTTTAGACATTTAAGCACCTGAAACCGTGACTAGATTATTTTCTCTCTTTTTTTTTTCTTTCTTTTTTTTGTGACGCTACTACCACATAACCACTCACTTTCTGTGACCACTCACTTTCTGTGAAATTTAGTTTTCAGCAGTAGCCTACTCATACTAATAAAAAATACTGTAGTTTTGGGGGAGTGTGTGTGTGTGTGTGTGTGTGTGGGGGGGGGGGGGGGGTCACTCTTGCTGCTTTTGTACATTGCATTCTTATCGCATATTTGTATATTTGATAGACAAGATAGAGTCCTTGATATCCTTAAATCAACTACAACTCAAACTCTTTGAAAAAACTTGCATTTGAAGACAAAGATTTCACCACAGATGAATAGAGAGTTATAGTTGTCCCTTGTTGTGTTACCACTAATGCCAGATTGTAACTGTTATGAATTCCACATTTTAATGTGTTCTCAAAGTCAGAACAATAATTGACAGCCGAGACACCTGTGTGAGCTTAGGTGATGCACGCTACAGTTCAATGAAATAAGTACACCAAAGCAATCTAAAATCTTTTATTATGCTACAAGCATTTTCCCCCAACCTTTGTTCTTTTCAAATATTTAATCATGCATTGTTAAGTATCTTGCCCTAAGGAGTGAATGCTGCTTCTTTTTTTCTGTTTTCCTTTATAGTGCTAAGACCAACAGAAAAGTGTCTGTTACCACAATACTTTTAAGTTGGAAGATTCTTATACATCTGTCATGAGTGCTTTTCTCTCCTAATCCTTCTATGGCATGGAGATTTAAGCAAATACAGTTGTGGGGGAATCAGGATCATGTAGACCAATCAATCCTGTCCTACCTGCCCCTCTCCAAACAATTGAGCAGGTGCATGTAGACTTTTGCCAAAACTATAGAGCTGCCACTCATGCCCAATTAAAGTACAATCATGTTTTACAGTGAAAGGTGTTTGAACGTGCTCCTATAAGCCCTGACCACAAGGATCAAATACAGCTGTGTGGATGAAGTATTTCATCAGTATTACTTTGTAGATAGAGAGATTGAAAGATCACTGCAGGCTGGATGGTTTCTCATAAGAGCTTTGATTGATGGAACCTTGTTTGTAGTATTTTCAATGCCTCATAATGAATCTGGCTTCAAAGGTCCAACAAATGGGACTCTAAAAGCATGAATTAGCAGCTTTGTTTACATGACAGTCTAACAGATTATCTCAGCATCAACCATGAAAGTCATCTCCTTCATTTTAGACATTTAAACACCTGAAACCGTGACTAGATTATTTTCTCTCTTTTTTTGTGTGTGACGGCTACTACCACATAACCACTCACTTTCTGTGACCCATCAAAACCACCTGTACTCTCTCTATACACAAACACACTTCATGTTTGCACATCGTACCATACGATGACAGGATATTGATATTACATTATCATACGCAGTTCAAACACACGCATATTAAAGCAGAACAAACATGTCCATCAATGTAATCTTGTCTTCCCTCGCTGCTTTGAATGAGACAGAAGGTCTCAGTTATTGCCAACTCAATCCCAGAGCAATAAAGTGATTCATCGTCTAGATTACGTTTTAACAGGAAGTTGATTGAGAGTGTAATCCATATTGATTCTCTTGATGGGAACAGGAAATAGCAGAGTTAGAAATAAAATCGGGTGTTGTTCCTGGTGAGAAGGGACCCCAGAGGGAAATGGAAAGCAATTGCGAGCTGATGAGTGGCACTGCCCCCTAGCACCACTCCTTCTAGCCCCACCGCCCTTTTCCTCTCATCCCCCTTTGAGACCAGAGAGAGACGTCATCAGGGTTGTTGTGTTCTTGGCCTCCACCCCCTGCCACACAACTACACACCTGTGCTCTGGTCTAATTAGGAGGGACATATACAATTTAGTCAGCTTTTCAAAGTTCAGTAATCAACAATAACTGACCTTTTACATGATACTGCAAGCCAAGTAGCTCTGTAATATATTTATTAAGGTGATGTATTACCAGTAGGATTTGGATGAGAGATGACATTGGTACTCCACCTGCTGTCAGGTAGGCGACAGAAGGGATTTTGGTGTCAGCATGACTGATGCTGGTATTTCATTCAGAAGCCTCCGCAATATATATATAAATACTTCGCTCATTAGGGAGACGACAGATGTTTGCTAATTGGGATCATCCTGAAACTGGGGCGGTTACTGGGCTACTCTTCTCTGTATGTGCGTAAACCAGCATTACGGTTGTCTTGAGAGTTGGAACGCTGACAATAATCCGTCCGTCCTCACAGGCGCACCACATCTGGAGGAATGAAATAAGACAGAATCATTGAATAATCCTCTGGCAGGCACTTTAAATTCTTCGCTATATTCAGCAGAGGTAATTGCTGACAATGTAAGAAGCTTTTTCCATTACGGGGAAAGCTGACAGACAGAAGTATATTTTCATGCCTGCAGAACCAGCTTGTACACACATTTTGCGTGCTGCCTGATTTGATTAAGATTGATCTGTCCTCCACAGCTGTATCCTTGGCTCTGGGTTTTTCCATGCGTGTTTTTGACCATTTGAGAGGAGAGATTAAAGATGCTCCCATCTCATCTCCCTAGCTAAACACACACACACATTGACGCACACACGCTCACACACTCCCCTCGTGGACTGCAACGTCACTGAGCGAGGGGACTTTGAGCTCATTAAGTAGAGGGCTGTGATATTCTGAATCGAGACTGTGGGACTCCCAACCGGCCTATTTATAGAAAGCACATCTCCATGGCAGTCATCTCTGCGCTAGCAAATCGCAGCCGTGGCCCCAGACACCAATTAAGAATGAAACAAATGCCTTTTAGACAGGGCGTGTCCCTCCTTGTCTCCTGCTGGCCCGTACTGCCTTCTGCTCTGGGAGCGGATCCTCCCTCTGCCTCTTCCTGAGGCTGCGTGGGGCATCGGGAGGACAGCACGCAGAGAACTGGCGAAGACTTGCTGCGGTGCTGGATATTTTTAAATGCACCCCCCTCCATCCCCCTTACCCCAGCCCTACCTCTCCTCTTCTCCTTCTCCTTAGGAAAGTGCGAGTAATGGGTATCTTTTTTGTTGTTGTGTATGCATGTTCCCCTGTCTGATCGTATGTGTCGGGATGCCGTTGGATGCAATGAATCACAGCGACTCATAGAGGGACTTCGGAGAGGTAAGAGAAAGCTGCAGAGGGGTTCGCAGAGAGGAAATGAGAGAGATGAGGAATCAAATAGGTTTCCTAGAATTGTTGATTTTGTAGCCAGGAAAAATTCCATTGACTAAAACATGGCAGTTTGTGTGAAAGGATGAATGAATGACTGGCATCTTTTCTCCTTATCTCTGTCTCGTTCTCTGATCACTTGATTTTAAATCTCTCTCTGCTTTCTTACAGTGTCTTTCCATATCTCTCTCTGTTCCTTCGTCTCTCTGTTTCAGTTTTGAACTCTCTTAGTTGGAAAGATAATCATCTGTGTGGCATCGTAGTGTGCAGGCTTGTTCTTCCAAATTAGTCCTGCTCAGTTAATTCCAGAGAAGTTTAGATGTTTGTTTTACATTTAAGCAGTATGTAAAGTTCATCCTTAACTTGAATTTTATAATAATAAATATAATAAATAATGGTAATAATAAGACAATTATATTATTTAAAAAAGAAGAATATATCATTTTAATAATATCCCATAAAATACAATTATGTCAGCATTGGATTACTCATGCAAACTTTGATGATAGACACTGTTCTGTAATTTTTTGGTGGGCTTTGACATGTCACCTATATCTGCTCCGTCTGAAAATCACACAAGCAGTTCACACACCTCTAAGGGAAGAGTGGAGGAGGCAAGGGAGCAGGAGAGAGTGGAGGAGGAGGAAGGGAAGGGGAAGAGAGAGACGGAGGAGAGTGGGGGCAGTTCTCTGGTGTCCTCCTAATGATACTCCAGGGTCTCTGAATTTAGCCTGCTGCATTTGCTGCTAAGGGGGAAGGGGGGCGCAAAAGTGCAGGTGTGTGAGTGGGGATGGAGAAAGTGTGCAGTGTTAGTTGCACTCCCGTGGGCCAGTAACTAAAAATGAATCAGAAATAACAAGTTGACATGTTGTGTTTGTGTCACTCTTTGTATATGCGTTACGGAAATGATTTGCAATCTCAGCTTCATTGGCCACAATAACCACACAAGACTATTAATCTTTCTTTGATTAGGGGAGAAGTGTTTCACGTAATGTTACTTGAAGTATCTTGAATGAAAATGGTTTCTTTACGTTGTGTTTTCTCTTCCTCCCTCCCCTTTTTCACTCCCCCATCCCTCTTGTCTTTCCCCTTTTGCTGTCTCCAGTTCCAACAGGTTAGAAGAGTGATGACCATCCTGTTTGTTACTATGGTTATTTCATACATCAGTTGCATGAGAGCTGCGCCCGTGAGAGAGATCCCGGGCCTGCAGGGGGGCCTCTGGGCCGAGAGCTACCTGGACGCTGCTGCTGCCTCCGCTGCTGCCGTCACCTCAGGCAGCCGAGGCCACGGGACTCCACAGAGTGGGGGCGGGCTGCCCTCGCTCACGGACACTTTCGAGCAGGTGATTGAGGAGTTGCTTGAGGGAGAAGGGGAGGCGACGCAGCAACTGGGGCCCGGGGCTGACCAGGGCCAAGGAGGGGGCGGTCCCGTAGCCACGGCAGACTCGAAGGACGTTGACCTGTACGCCTCGCGGGTGATGATCAGCAACCAAGTGCCTTTGGAGCCGCCGTTACTCTTTCTCTTGGAGGAATACAAAAACTACCTGGACGCCGCCAACATGTCGATGCGCGTGCGGCGGCACTCGGACCCCGCACGACGAGGGGAGCTCAGCGTTTGTGACAGTATTAGCCAGTGGGTGACGGCTGTGGACAAAAAGACGGCCATAGACATGTCGGGCCAGACAGTCACCGTCCTGGAGAAGGTCCCTGTGACTAACGGTCAGCTGAAGCAATACTTTTACGAGACCAAATGCAACCCCTTGGGGTACACAAAGGAGGGCTGCCGAGGAATAGACAAGCGGCACTATAACTCGCAATGCCGGACAACCCAGTCTTACGTGCGAGCCCTTACCATGGATAGCAAAAGGAAGATCGGCTGGCGGTTTATACGGATAGACACTTCGTGTGTATGCACATTGACCATTAAAAGGGGCAGATAGTGTACACAATGTATAGATTTTATTGAAAGTTCTAAAAAAGAGAGAGAAAAGAGAAAATATCTATTTGTATATATACATAACAGGGTAAATTATTCCGTCAGATGAAAATTTTATGGACTGCATGTAAAAAAGATGAAGTTTATACAGTAAAAGTGATACTACAGTCTATTTATTGAACATATTCATGACCTTGTAAACAATTAAAAAAAGATCTGATCAGTCATTTGCGCCCAGTTCAAATTACTATATCACATTCCTCGAGACATTGTGTTTTTTACGTTGCCAAGATTTTGAGAGATGAGGAGAGGAGGGGGTGAGGAAGAATTACATTCAAGAAAAGAAAAAAAAAAGAAAAAAAAGAAAAAAAAACTTGCATGCTGCTTCAATTGTGAATTCAGAAACTGTCCACTTTGGGAAAACAAGGAAACGATTTCCGACCAAAACATTCCGTTTACATTCTCAACCGTAACAGGATTTCCTCCTCTCAGTACTCTGTCTGTTTACTATCCTCAACTTCTCAAGGTAATGTTGGAAATACATACTATGTCAAGGTGCTGTTGTCAAAGCTTTGCTGTTTATTTTTTTATCCCCACAAGATGAAAAAAGTATATATAAAATATATATAAAAATTTATTCATTGAAATGTGTTCTGGATTAATATAATTCATTTTGTATGTTGTGAAGTTGTTTGCAATATTAAATTGAAATATTTGAAGAAATAAAATTACTATAGGCAACTGAAAAACAAAAGCAATGTCAATAAAGTTTGAGCTCTCGCTTTGCAGGTCTAAATTTGGCACAAGTTTGGAGAGAACATCTTCTCTCGCAACGAACATACATTGGATCCTACATTTAAATGATTTTAGAAGGGATAAAAAAAAAAATCAGAATTTATCTCCCATCCTCTCATCATATATATCCGTATAATTGAGCAGATGAAATGCTAGTTTGAAATTTTGCATTGAAGAATTTTGCAAATGCAGATGAACACATATGCAATGTAGTTTCGACTCTTTTCCACGGAAGAACAAATAGTCCAGAGAGTTCTCAGGTAAGACTTATTCTAAACTTGGCATGTAAATTCTATGGAAACCAGTCCCTCATGTAATGTTGTCCAGTCAGAGAGTACAGGCCTTCATCACTAGTACTAAGAGATTAGGATTTTCTTTTGTCTGAAAGATAGATCAATGGAGTCAACACTCCAATGCACTCCACGTGATATCTGATACACCTGAACACAGACCATACACAAACCTGCTTTCCTTCAAAGGCTGTTATCAGACAACTAAACAGAAACTGTCTGACACCGATACACTGCTACAGATAAGGGAGGACACAGAGCTTCATCTGTTTATGGTAAGTATCTCACTGCATCATAAGTATGTGGACAGGGCAAGAAATGATGCTCATGCAGAAAGTCAAAATGCCTGGTCATGGGTGCATCCTTTCTCAGCAAACAAACCATTTTCAGGTCTCCCACAGTCAAAAAGGATTTTGGTATTGAAATAAATAATAGCTCTCAGTATTGCATTATAAGAACAAAAATATAAAAAATATAGTATGAGCTTTTACTGCAAAATGCAACATATACAGCAATGGCGAATGGACTAGATAAGGAAATAGACAATACAAGATTATCCTGGTGCATTTTACCCGAGAAACAACTTTCATGACTGAGTTATTTTTGTGAGATTCCGATTTTCCCCAGTTCAAAGTAGTCCTTGGTAAGACCCAGCAGGGCCCTGTCCCATTTGCTACAGAAGTAGGCCACTCTATTCTCTTTTTCCCTTTCTAAATACCAGCAACTAAACCCCTAGAATCACTGTTAACAAGCCAGTTCAGTTTGTTTTGTGACTTTGATAAAATATAAAAATATGGAAGGAGTGAAAAACTAATACAGCAAAACGAATCTAATGAAAATATCATAAAATAATTGCAGAATTAAGTAAAATAATTACATTTAAAATATTATTTTCAGTGTGCAGTTTGGTTATAAAAGTGTGTTCTCAGGATTGTATATTTCAAGGCACATATATGCAGATTAGTCTTCTTTTAATGGTGTTCTTTAATTTTTTTTTTTATAAAAGAAATTCAAAGGAAATGTTTTCTCTTATTTATCTACATTTGTTACGTATAATAAACTATGAAATGCTGTGGTTTTAATATATAAAGCAAATTATCCTGGTTATGCAGATGTCCTGACACAAATGACAAAAACAGCTGTTGGCCATAAAAAATATATAGTAGATCGTTATTTTGTTGCATGGCACAATTCTGGTAACCAGGGGCCAGTTGCATAAACATATAGCCATTATATTTAGACTGTGTCTTAAGACAGATGACCATCTAGCAGTTAGGGGTAATCAGTCTTACTTTGCGGTATCAAACTATGCTGGATAACTGATTACATGTAATCTGGATTACGTAATCAGATTCCAAAAATTAAGTAGCTACTTGTAATTAGATTATATTACTTTTTAAAATACTCGTAGGCCTAATCAGACTATACAGGTAGGCCTACTTTTCTATTGATTAGCCTACATAATTAATGGCTGTAGATTATTCAATTAATTGATTCTACTTCTTTGTTATATCTAAATTTTACTTTCTATAAAAGTCTACTGCTTAGGCTACTTTACTTTCAGAAGGTCTTCCAGGTTTGTAGAATTGCACTGACGAACCGGTCACTATGAGCCGATCACTAAAAACTGAGTAAAAAAACACTATATCACTCCTTTGATCACTAGATTTAGAGAAATCTTTTCACTTTTGACAAATCTTTTTTTTTTCTCAACATTGCGTATCTAATCAACTTCTGACGAACACAATTATTATTTGAATTATCACTCAGTGACAGTGATTTATTAAACCATATGACTGTCTTTGGAAGGCTTTTGTCTTTCAAACACATTAAAATGTACAAATTCACATCATTTCATATTAATGCAGCTAGGGATTCCCTAACTTTTTTGTTAGCTGAACCTCTTTGCCCTAATATGTTTACTTGAAGAAGGCCTAAGCCCTTAGATTTTAAGTTAATAAGTTAGGTCAATAATGAAATGAAGTTAATATGATAATAATAAAATTATGTTCACGGTTCTCTGATGTTGGTAACATGCAGGTAAACAAATGTTTAAAAAAAAAAAATGTTTTATTTTTATTAATTTCATTTTAAAATTATTGTTTTTATATGATTTAATTACTTAATAGCTTTTCGTTAAACTCACAAACCCCAGTCTGGGAAACCCTGACCTAATATTTAATCCTTGTTGATAAAAATGCATATATTTTCTTTCTCTTTGTATTGTTATATCAATATGATACAAGATTATCCTATTCAAATCAATGTGATAAATGAATAAGGTAAAAAGTAATCTAAAAAGCAATCAAAACTTAGTGAGAAGAATACATGAATACAGAATACAGCTAGCCTACATAAAATAAGTAGCCTAATCTAGATGTTACTGGCCTACAATTTTTGTAGTGTAATTTGGAATCAAATGACTTCAATTTGTAAGTAATCTACCTAGCACTGGTATCAAATAAGACCAATCTACGTTTTTATGTAGCCTAACTGATTTAAACCAGTTATGAACAGTCTTAAAGAAAAGAAAAAATGGATGACTAACTTGTAAAACTAGTCCTAGCCGTTTATGCAACCGGCCCCAGGGGCTATCTTCTACTCAAATGATGCGACCATTTGAATGGGCTTAATAAAATAGTATTTGCATGAAAATTTGTGTTAATATAGCAGGTCTAACAGTAATACCATAAAAGTTAAACCAAGGCCGATTCCCTGCTGTATTTGCAACTCTGTATAAAAGGTCTTGCCAAACAGTATTCTTTAGCTGTAATTATATGTTTTATTAATTAAATATATTACATATTCCAAATATATAATAAAAGCATATTTCCTTGGGCTGCTCATAATGAAATATTGTTTCTTGTAGTAGCCTAGTATGCAAAGTGTCTGCACAGAAGCAGCGCAGGTATGATGCTCTTGACTCGTCCTCTAATCTCTTTCCATTACCCACAGCGCTTAAGCTGAGCAGCTAGCTAGCTAACAGCAACAAACACAGCAGCGGAGACGTGAGTCTGGAGCTTTCGCCAAACGCAAACTCAATAACCAGGGCTAAAATGGCTTCTTTAGGAGAACCTGTGCGTCTGGAAAGAGGTAAGCCGCTCGCTGAAACACTTTATGTTGAATGTAATGCTCAGGAGGTTGTGTAAATCACGCTTTTTGCTCTAAACATCCCGCTGTCACTTCATGAAACGGATTAGTGCAGTGGACGACAGCGAGCTAGCTCCCATTCATTGTTTCAAATCATTCATAATATTCAATAAACACCGCGACTTATACGATTTACGTATAAATGTGAAGTATGAACATCTTTTTTCTGTCGTTGAAGCGCGTGTTTACGTTCAATGAAAGTAAAACACAAGGCTAGCTGTCAGAGGTAGCAGTAACGTTAGTAATCTTTTGTGAGCAGCACTGTTAGCATGGTCACGCCAGGTCAGTGTTTAGTAATAGTATTAGACATCAGTGTCACAGTATTTGATTGTTTCTGGTGGTTTAGTACAGTCTTTCAGGGAAATACTGAGACATCACCTTATTTTTAGTCCAACTGAAGTTTATGGGGCTTTATATTGTGAAGAGTGAACGTTGGCTAGTAGATTAGCAAAAGCGCTGATTTATGATGATAATCAGAGGTCTATTGTTATTTTGATATTCGTATCTGTTTGTGTATGTCCTTACAAAGTTAGTTGGTGCATTAGTTGACTTGTGTTAGTTCTGTGGCTGAATCTGAGAACTATACTGTATACAGAGTATTTAAAGATCTCTTCCATCCAGAAGTTATATTATTTTTCAGATTGATTAACAAAGGATATTCCTTCTTAGCTGTAGAGAAATTTGATAGCAGTCCATGCAAAACACGCATATAATAAAAAATAAACATCAGGGTGAACAGTTGTTATTTGTAATTCACTTATATGTCAATTGTTATTTCAATGTAACCTTTTGAAATACTCCAGTCCTGAAGTATTAACTTTAAAAGCGTTTAATATTATTTATTAGGCATAGTTGTTTAGCCTAACACAACATCTCCAGATGGCATGATGCATATGATTATCCATGGTTTTGGTCTTGCCCTCACTGTTTTGCATATGTTCTTCTACAGACATATCTCGTGCTATTGAGCTGCTGGACAAGCTCCAGAGAACAGGGGAAGTGCCTCCCCAGAAGCTGCAGGCACTGCAGAGGGTTTTGCAGAGCGAGTTCTGCAATGCCGTACGGGAGGTAAGTGTGCCAGCATTACATTCATGCATTCAAATGAAATTCAAGGTTATGTTACTTACCAACCACTTTTTTAACCAACACAAAATAGGTGTTGTTTAAAAGCTTAGAAGCTTGGATTTACGGTGAGTATAGGGAATGTGACCATCAACAAGTGCTTTTAAATTAGCTCACATATTAGAAGTGCTCTATTTTCATAGCTTGAAAAAATATCTGTAAAGTCATATATCATTGAAAATGTCTCAACTAGCAGAATCCAACAAGCATAGGCTATTTGTTTCAGTTTGAGACCAAACTATACCAAATAGTTGTATGAAAAAGCACAGCCGACGCACTTGTAAACGATG